CTCTTGAGTCCAGGTGTACTTGGGAAAGATTCAAGCATGTTCTCCTACTATTGTTTGGAATCAGATGACAGTGTAGGGAAAGTAGCATACAATTGGAGAACTTTAACAACAGAATGAAGCATATAAGATTCAGAAAGCTTAACCCACTATAGAAGGAGAGGAAGTTTGCTGTCGTAGTGAGGGCACAAGGCTGGGAAATTGGGAGTTTGAGTTCGACCTTAAGTCCAAAGCCAGCAGGGTGACCTTGGGCCAGTCATGCTCTCTAAGCCCTAGGAAGAACCAGCAGGCAAGGGCAAATCACTTCCAAAAATCTTTCCAAGACAACTGTAGGGATTTGTCCAGGGATTTGCCACACACAGGGAAACTTACTCCAGGTGGTTGTAGAGGGAGGAAGCAGGAGCGGGAAGGGAGGAAGTTGTAGCCAGCCTCAAAGTGCTGGTCTTGCTCAGACGAACTGCCTTCCCACTTGTGCAGGTGCAAACCCAAGCAGCGTTCCTGTTGGCGATGGAGCTGGCGAGACTGCTTGGCCTGGAAGAAACGAAGATGGCGACGGAGCAGGAGAAGCACATGCTGAGGCTGCTCATCCCTCTCGCTAAACTTTATACTGCAAAGCAGGTCACACTGAGTTTGATGCACCATGATGGCAAACCTTAGCTGTGCTGTGCATGCACGCACATGCATGCATGGGGGGATGCACACATGCGCATGCGCTTTGGGCACTTGATGCCCAAAAGGTTATCCATCATTGGGCTAAGTGATGTCCTCGACTGGCAAAGAGGGCACCTCTACAGGGCAGGTGTTCATGGGAGCTGAGGGGAGGCAAAATCTGTGCAGGCTGTTACCTTTCTGACTGGATGTTTGGCCATTGAGTCTCTTGGTTCAAAGAATTGGGAATCATTGTCAGCCCCTCTTCCCCTAACATTTATTCAAAGGCATCTGAATTCATGACTTTGTGACTAAAACTGATGCCTTTGAATAAATGTTAGGGGAAGAGGGGCTAATGGATTAACATTTACGTATCTGGTGGGCTGTTGTTTGTGCTTCTCCCAGCCTGGCATATTTGTCGGGTGTGTAAACAAGCCAGTTTGTATTTCAGGCTATCGCTGTGGCCTCAGAAGGCCTGGAGTGTTTCGGAGGACAGGGCTACATGGAAGACACAAGCCTGCCTGCCATTCTTCAGCATACCCAGGTGAAGAAGCACTGGACTTGTTTTTTTTTTTTTTTGCTTCTTCTACTTCCTTCTTTCTTGCAGCCTGGGGGTTTTTTAGGGGGGGGGGGAGCAGGAAGAGAAATTTGCACCTTAGTTCCTTTGTTTCACCTTTTCTTCCTGACATTAGCTTGTTATCGCAGAGTTCTGAGATCATGAAGAAAAGGGGGGAAAGTAATTCAGGCCTCTGAATACTCAGAAAGATCTTTCTTAAGGAATGCAGTTGCTTATAATGAATATAATAAACTGAACATTTGTCTATGAAAAAAATAACAGTGGCATTCCGTCACGCTTGGTAGGTGTTCCAAATATTTGGAAACAAATCCCTTACAAAGGAGTGCTTAAAGGCACATTTGTAAAGTCATGACTGACAGCTGTTATTATTTTTAAGCAATTCTAGTGAGAATAACACATAGAAATGCAGAGCATTTATTCATAGAAATATGTAAAAAAAAACCTCCTTATTCTTGAGTCGTTTTGGTGCTAGACTGGGAATGGAAAAACCAAGAAAACCATGGAAGCTATTGGGAAACTTTGGGACTGTTATGCCTGGTCAGCCCAACTTACTCCTCCTCCAGGTTGGTGCTCTGGCATCTGTTTCTTGAGCTCTGCTTCCCTTTCACTGTCAGGTGCTATCAATCTGGGAGGGAACCACGAACATCCTGTGCCTGTATGTTCTGCGCTGCATTTTCAAGAGCCAAGGAAAAGTGCTGGATGTCTTTTTCTCCACTGCCCAGGTAAGCACCAATAAATGAGTTTCTCACACCACCTATAAATGTTAAAATTTGAGATGTGCTTGTTAGGAGCAACAGGCTCAGTTGGCCTCATGTAAAACTGTGGTGGTCCTTGTTGACGTTGATGTGCTGCTATTTAATGCGTGAGAACATATGATTGGGGAGGCATTGTATTAAGTAAATCTGAGCTAAATGCCAATGATTTAAGATCAGTTCTGCTAGGCCCACC